TAGCTGTTCTCTCTCCAGATTCTCAGACATGTCAAGCCATGAAGTGTCACACCCTGTCTCCAGACCTGGAACTGAACCCAGATCACATTCCAGCTGTGCAGCCTCTCTGGGGAGTCCATTGCCTTATCTCACATGGACTGTGCATGTGAAATTAAATGACATGGCAAAATAAGAAGGAAAGCAAATGAAGGTCTATTTCGCTGTTAAGTGTAGCTCCTGAGCATTTGTTAAGACTGTTAGAATACTCCATGTCTCACACAAGATGTCTGTAACTGCCATGCACATATTCCAGTCAAGCTAATAGCCACTAGATCCTCTTTAGCCAGCTTTCTCCTGTGCCTCAGCACCCTGTGGTACTTCCCAGCTGTCTGCCCAAAACTGAGCAGCAATGTAAAGGAAGCTGTGAGACAGCAGCAAGCCATGGCCTGATGTTCACACTGCAAAATCAGTCCTGTGAAAAGCATACTGCTCCTGGGAAAGTTCTGTCAGGGACTCAGCTATACTTGCATAGAATCATCCCATTTTTAAGGATAATAGCAGTGAGCACTGTACAGCCAGGCACCTGCCCTCAACATATCACCCTCACGTACCACCCACACAGGTTTGGGGCTAGTCCCACCCAATTTCCAGGCTACCCCTGCCCCGTGGACACAGCTTCCCTCTGATCTCTGTGTTAGGGAAGCCTCGTTCTGCTCGGTGCTGCAGTGTCTCAGCAGGCTCAGGCCGAGCCCTTACCCAGGTGGCGATGTACAGGCTGGGGTTGGTGTACTGCACGGCTGGCACAGCGCCCTGCTCCGCATCCACAAACGCCAGCGCCAGCCCCGCCACCGCCGTCAGCACCAGCAGGGCAGCCAGCACCTGTGGAGAGAGGGACAGCCCACTGGGGACACTGGAACAACTGGGAGCAGCAGAGTTCAGCATAAAATACATCCTTACAGCCTTTTCAACCCAGACTTGGCCTGAGGCAGCTTTCAACCCTGTGAATGTGCCACAGCTCCACAGGAGCACTGCCATCATTTTCAGTTTGGAAGATGGCAGCCCACAAGAGGAGAGGCCCCAGTAGACACTCTGCTCTCACTCTCAGTGAATCCCTACCTGTTATGCCCTCTGTCCCAGATATGCCTCCTGCTGGACTCCCCTTTACATTTCTGTCCTGGATGGTTCCCTAACCCATTCCTCCTTCCCTCCCACACTTGACTGTAGCACAGAGCCTTTCCACTCATACCACCAACACCTCAGGCTGCTCCAGCCTGTCATCTGTTGCCCTCTCAGCTCCACTCTACCTGTTTGATTATGTAGAGTTTGGTCACAGAGGATTTCTTGGCTTTGGATTTGCACATGGGCAGGAGCTGCCATGGGGCCAAAATCCAGAAGAAGCCAAGGGGGATCCAGACCAGCACAGTCTGCTGGAAGCACACCGGCAGGTCGGCATCCGGACGAGCAAGGTAGGAATCGTTCTGGGGGCAGCAAGGACAGAACACCAGGTCACATGCAATTGCTTGGCTCTCACTTGGCACACAGGACAAGGGCAAACACTCCTACAGGTCCTGCCCACCCAGCTCCACACCATTGCATTCCCCCTTCAACACCCACCCTCCTGGCTGAACATTTCAGCTCTCGGCCAGGGTCCGAGCGATATCCCCATCCCCATCCCCATCCCCATCTCTCTGCCTGAATGAGGGATGGCCACCCCTTGCTGGAGCCAAGCCAACAGAAGGAGCTGAAGCCAAATCACTCTCCAGAAGCCCGTACAGGGTGTCCTGTGTTCCCAGAAAGGCTAAAACAGGACAGAGCTCAGTCCGAGAGGCGTCATTGCCTCACTGTCTGGTGAGCACTGTGCAGGCAGTGCACAGCACTCAGTGCTACAGCACTCCTGGATAAACCCCAGACCCTCTGCCGACCACTGGCACTTGGGTCTCCCTGGCAGGACAGGCTGTGAGCCTTGGAATCCACTGCCCTCCCCCCAGAGGGGTGTCCCACCCCGAGAACAGGCACAGGGGATGATGCAGTCACTCACCCAGAAGACGGAGCCGCAGAACTCCTCCAGGGCTGCTGACATAGCTCAGGGAAGGAGAAAGGGCAGCTCCTTCCTCTCACTCTGCCCAACTGAGAGCCCTGGGCAGATGCTTGGGATAAAAGTCCCCCCACACCCTCAAGCGGTCTTGGGACAAAAAACTCTGATGACCCACAGTTAATAAATAACTCGGTGCTATTGCATAACCCTACTAACCAAAGCAGTGACCAAAAGGGCTTGGGAAGCTGCACAGGCTCAGGAGAAGGGAAGAGAGGAAGACCCAAGGAAGAGATCAAAGGGGAGATACAGGGAAGCCACAGAGTCACTGCAAGACACCACAGCCATTGCTCAGAAACCATAGCCTTGATCAGCGCACACCAACAGACAAAAACTTGTCTGGACCTGCTAAAGACGTTACTTTGATGCAACAGACCTCTCTGGTGAGAAGGCTGCTGAATGCCAACAAAAAGTCCAGCAAAGGCTGGTCCCACAGGGGCTGGTGCCACCTGGCAAGGGGACCTGGGACACCAGCAGTGCCCCTGGCCTGGGAATCTGCAGTGTCCAGCAGCTGAGCTCACCACATGCTGCACTGGTCTTTCTGAGCCTTCAGGATGCAGATTCCTTTTACTAATTTCCAGTCTGCAGAGCCTGAAGATTTTCCAAATTCCTTCTTTTGCTTCTTTCTTTCCCACATTTCCATGTTGTCTGTGTGTTATGGCAGTTGGCTGACCACAAAACCCCAAAGAGACTTTGAATCTTCATGCTAAGTAACCCCCAACATCTAAGACAGAAAGAGGGTGACTCCCAAGGAGACTGATTGCCACTGAACCCTTGATGCTTAGGAAGACCTAGGTGTGACAGGAACACATGGGGACAGTGCTACTAAGGCTAGAACTGGATTTGCTTTATCATGTGTGCTCTTGAGAAACAGCAGATAAAAGAGGACTGCAATTATTGTGCTGTCTCATTGTACACGGAGTTACAAGATAACTCAGAAGTCAAGGGTGACACAATGAGTAATTCCTCAGGAACCATCAATACCAAAGAAAGGCTCAATGTCCAACTCAGTGGTTAATTATTAGCAATTTCTCTGATTAAATCCACATGTTTTTGTAAATAAAACTATCCCTCCTGCTACATCCTCTGGGCCAGAACCAATACACTGCTCCTGAGAGCTGTAAACTGATGTAATGAGTAAGAAGTGAATGGAGCAGTCACTCAGCCCTTCTTCATCTGGACTGCTGATGTGATTCTTCTTTCTGGCACTGGCACAGGTGTCCTCTGGCCTTGCCCAAAACCACTTGGAGCACTGCTGCCAAGGGGCACACTTGTTTATGACACCTCCCTACATAATGCCCCATCTCACTGCTTATCTCAGTTTTTAGTACAGGTCACATCTCATCCCCACCATGACTTTGGTCTCTCACTCAGAGTTGAAGTGTTGCCCTCAGCACAGGATTCCACTCTTCTGATGTTCAAAGCAAGCAGAACCCACTTTCTCTACCCTCACAGCTGGGGCATGCTCCTCCTAAAAACCCACAAAGCTTTACTGTCCTTCAGCTCCTTCCATAAACCTTCCTGCACTAAAATACCCAGAAAACATTCACTGGGACCAAGGTAATCTAAGTGACACCTCTTTGGCCGGCAATACCATCGTCTCCCTGTGCTCCCCTCTCTTCATCCATCTGTTATACAGCATGTTACAGCTTTTCAAAACTAGGTATTGATTCATGCCTGTCTCACACAGGGTCTGATCCAGAGGTCTCTGCCAGGCAATCAGCCAAATTGCTCCAGCCCTCACTGCTCATATCTTCTCTGAAGAGTCTCTGCCTTGTCGTGTTCTTACCCCATGTTCAAAAACATGAGGCAGCTTGGTCAGCAGAATATTCTCACCCTAATTATCATGATTATGATACTGGTAGCCCAATCTTAACAGAGCTACCACTATCATAATCACGACCATGACTCATAAAATCTCAACATAAGTCATGAACTCTTATGAACTCTCTATTGACTATAATAATAAATTTAATCACTCTTTCCAAGTTTGGATTCTTCCTACAGCCCGTACATCTGTCAGTGCTGAAGCAGGCTCTGACACCAGCACTATGCAGTCACTCCCTTTCCAGCTCCTCTGTTAAGAACTTAAGTTCCCAAGGTATTTTTGGAGACACCAATACTTCTGATGGATTCATGTGAAAAAGTAGATGTACCCTTTAAACTGAAAATATGCAGTCTTGATGATAGGTTTTCAATAATGTGATTGTATTTAAGGTGACAAAGGTGCTGCCACCTCGTCAGGTTATCACATTTTCTCCATACATCCTCACAGGCTATTGCCAAGATGGGAAATCTGTGCCCAGCATTTGTGTCCTGAGGTCCACTACCTTGGCTGTCAGAAGGATTCTCTTCAGCTTTGTGATCTTTTACAGAAGAGCAGGCAGCATGGATAACGGTGCTTTACTGCTAGGACTCTACACTTCTAATGCACCCTCTGATACCATTTAAATCTTCCACTGGGTATTTTACAGACTAGCTGAGTCTGTAAAATCAATCCTGACTAGGCAGCAATGATCCAACAGACACACTCCCCAAACACTGTCTGGAAAACAAGCAGTTTATGCTTTATGTTCGGACAAGAACCTGGAAACTCCCTTAGAAAAAGCAACTTGTCCTCCCAAGGAATCTCATACACCAACCCCACCTCAAGCACTGAGGAGCCACAGCCCAGGATGTCTCACAGCTTCCTCACCCCAGCTTCCTCAGCCAGGTGCTTCTCACCACTTACACCTGCTGCATTGCTAAACCCCACCTGTGGGCTGGCTGACCACAGCTGGCCTTGTTTCCCAGCTGTGGCCATGGTGTTTCCCACCCTGGCCTTCTGGATGTGACTGTGTTCTCTGGCACAGCAGGGTCCTAATTCAGGCTGTGCAACCTGGATCACAGTCTTACCTGAACACACAAACAAACTCTAGAAAAGCACAGCACGAGGGGGGCAGCTGCAGTGTTTATTTGACAATCACATGCAGTGCTATACAATTCAGCCCCCCTACCTGCTCACCTCCCTTCCTCCCAAATGCTGCCCAACAGCTGCTGCTGCTGCAACATCTGGGAATGAGTCCTTTTATTTAAAATGGCCAACATAAGTTTCCAGGCCAGGGACTTGAGGGGAAGGCAAGGGAAGAGGTGTCAGGCTCCATCATCACCTAGTGCACATCCTCTGCAGCCTGAGGAGCGAAGCAGTGCCCATCAGTCCGTGTGCCAGGGCACACTCTGGAGTCTCTGTGCTCTTGGCCCTCCACTACAGAATGTTCTTGGCAATGGCGTTCAGGGTCCTCACTTTGGCCACGTCTGCCACCTTTATGGAGTACTCGGGGGCAGAGAAGGACGCTCCCATGGCAACGTTCGGGTTTCTGTCAAGAAAACCAGTGATTAGTGGTGACCTGCTGGGGACACAGAGGAGTAACATCCACCCAGAAAAACATCCCCAGATTTCCCCTAGCTTCAGCACTGGCCAAAGATGGTGCCACCCAAACCTAAGTTGGAACAGTAATAGAATATAGCCCATTCCTCACTCATTTTTCAGAGGCACATCCCACTGGCTTGCCAAATCCTACATGTTTATGTTAAAAGTCTAAGGCAACTAAACCACAACACACCTTCCCAAGTGCCTTCAGAACTCCTAGGGTGGCACTAGCAAGAGAAATGCCCCAAGGATCTGGTTCTGCATGGAACTCACGTCCATGTGAGGAGCACTGCTGGATCCATACACTGCAGAATATCAGGCACCATGACCCCAAACAGAAAAGCACAACTAGCACTCAGGAAGCTGCTTGAAATTAATGCCAGTTCTACAAACCCATACTCACATTCATTAGCCTTTCCCTCACAGAGTTCTGCTAAAAATAAACACAAATAATCAGTTACCTGAACTTCATCCCTGAGTCCCGAGCTGAGCGAGCAGAGCAGTGAAACTCGGAAGCAGTGGAGCCTTCCAGAATCCTCTGCAGGTTGCGCTCCGTGATGCCACCTCCTGGTGGGAACAAGCCCGATGTCACACACCGAGCAGTGACACTGTTCCAGACCCACCACCACCCCGGGACCTCACCACTAAGGGACAGGAGCCACATACACTGAAGGGGAAAAACAGCCCTTGGGACAACAGAGACATGGGCAAGTGAAAAGAGACGGGAGAAGCCTTGGCTATGCCCTCCCACAGATCCAGAGCTGTCCCCAAACCCTGCAGGGAGCAATAGAGCAGGGCTCTGCCATCCCTAACAGGCTGCATGGCCTTTACTCACTCCAGGACAGGAGCTGCTCCTCCTGGGCAGCTGGCTCAGAAAGTCAGATCAGGAAGTGGATTCCAGGGCAAGGAATCTAGGGCAAGGAGGCTAGCAGGGAAAGGCTAAGGATTGCAGGACCTGGTACAGATGACAAACATTACCTGGCATCACCACAATTCTGCCCTTTGCCTGAAAGAAGAGTAACATACATGTCAGGGACATTACTGAGGACCACATCCACACGTGCGTTTGTGAGGCAGCAAAGAAACCTCACATGCAGCACTTTCCATAAGCTCATGGATGTCACCATGGTCTACAGTTTATGTGCTCTTACCCATCTTTTTTGTACTATTCATGTTTTAAAATGAAAAGTGGAAAAGAACTTGCAGTTACCTCGAAGACAACCTGGCACCATTCCCTCCTACCTCTCCATCCCACCTTGCTACCTCACCTGTCGCACTTTCCTAAAAGGAGCAGTGAGACACTCAGCAGGGACCTCACTCTGCTGTTTGTGTGGCCTCATCATGCCAGCTGTTTAAACCAACTCCCACCACCCTCCCCAAATCTGCATGCAAGAACCCAACCAGTTTTTGCTGTGGGAGACTTTGGGGCCCAGCCTAAATGGACTTGGGGAAACAGATTAAAGCCAAGCAAGAAAGGGAAGGCAAGCAGTCCTTGAGAGGATTCCCTCCCAGAAAAGAGGGATACCATAAAGCAGCTGCCTGCAGGCTGTGCCAGGGAGCAGCCACAGTAACCCAGCAGAGCACAGCAAGCACTCACCTGTTCTGCAAGCCTCTTAATCAAGGACAATCCTTCCAGTGCTGAGCTGTCACAGCCACTCGTCAGCACCCTCTCAAAGCCCAGGGAAATCAGGGTCTCCAGTGCCACCAGAGGGTCATGCACCATGTCAAAGGCTGAGGGACCAGAACAGCAGCTCAGAAATCGCCCAGTTGATTGTGCTCAAGCCCTGTCCCTCAGCCAGCTCCCCAAAGGCAGAGATAGGAAGGATCCTGCTCACACCCTGGGCTCAGCTCCTGACTGTAACACTCCCCTTGCAGCAGTGCCAGGGCATACCCAGCTCCTCAGACACCTCCTCTCTCACAGGGCAATGAGACCTCAGCTCCCAAACCTGAGCCCCTAGACCTTTTCTCTTGTGAGGAATAGCACAGCCTGCAGAGCTCTCCCTCTCCAGAGAACAACCCAAAAGATCAAGCTCAGCTCCCTCCCAGGCCCTCCCTCCCCCAGCAGTGGGACACACACAGGGACAGCAGCCCTGCCCACTCACCGCGGTGAAACGTGACGGGCAGGGGACGGCACACGGCTGCAAAAGAAAACACAAGTGGTCAGTCAGGGCTGGAACAGAGCCCCTTGTGCTAGAACCACAAACACACAGGACACACAGGAGGGCCAAGGCTTCCCAAGCCATTCCCAGGGAGCTCAGAGAGCCCCCATTCTTGCTGGGAACAATGCTGCTCATCCAGGATTCCTTGTGGGGAAGAGTTCTTCTGCCCTTTGAGAAAGCAACAAACATTTGGTTTTATGGCCAACACCAAAATCCCCCATCCTGTCTGGGACTGCAGAACCTTCATTCCCACCACAGATGTATTTCTCAGCAGGAAGGAAGCAGGGAAGTTCTATCAGCTACCTGGGGAAAGGCCAGGACCATTGCTCTTTGGAAGCAGGGGAGCTGATTTTTGTGATTTCTTTCACTTCCTACAATTTCTGTTCTCAGACCACAGCAAACTTGACCCGAGATCGTCTACTTACTGAGCAAAGCTTATTTAGTTCTACAAAAAGACATCTAGCTGCTCCCTGCTAAGTCCTGGCAAGACCCTTTTCCTTTGCTGCACTTCTTATAGCACATTCCCCTTTGTATGAGAGCCTCAGTACCACATCACCAGGGAAAGGCCTAGCCCTCTTTAGCTTTGGCTGTAGCTCCCCAAAAACATGCAGCAAGGAAGAGAATTTCCTTCTGCATGCTTGTGGTCTGGGCTAACCGTCTCCCACTGCACCTTTTCATGTGTTCACACCTCTCTCTTGCAATCTTTTCTCCCTGTTTGTGTTAATAGAGGAAAATGAAGATGAATTGACAGCTACACACAAGGCCAAAGTCCAGGATATACCTATCCTAGACACCTGCAGCAAGGACATAAGGAAGAGAACAAAGGACAAAGAAAACGAGAGAGAGAATTCAACAGGTCAAAGCAGCTCACCTAAGCCTTCCTACACTTTGCTGTTCTGTCCCAGGTGGCCTCAAACTCTGCGTGAATGGCTTGGGGCTGTGGCCCTCGGCACGCAAACTTTCTAAAGTAGTGAATGTCTCAGAGGTAAGGCAGGACACGAAACCGAACGCGGTGGAAAGAGATGGCAACACCGCAGACAGGATGCACAGACCCATGCCCAGCGCAGCACCGCAGCCGCGCCAGGCGCAGAGCTC